ATATATATATATATATGTGTGTGTGTGTGTATGTATATACAATTTTTTTCTTCTTAAATTTAGTGGGTGTGGCTTATATTCAGGTGCGCTCAATAGTCTGGAAATTACGGTATATCAAAGTAGGCTACAGTAACTGAGGTATTGTTTGTCTTTAACACTTAAATTTTTTTGGCTAAAAATATGATAAATGTAAATATGATGAATATAAATGTCTCATTTTCTTCATGTTGCTTAGAGGGAAACTTCTGGGGCCGCACCATGGCAGCCATTTCCAGCTCGACTGACCCCAGCAGCTATGAGGGTTTCGGTCCATTCATGCCCGGCTTCGAGCTCATCCCGTATAATGATATTCCTGCACTGGAGGTACTGGAGGTTTTCTTTCACTAATGTTAATTATTGTGTAAATGAAAGACAGCGCAGTGAAAAGATGATTCAGTATGAAGCTGTGCGAAAACCTTTCACTTTGTTCCACGCTAGCTGCCCGAGGAACTTTTAATAATTCATTCACCGAATGCTAAACAATCAATCAACCTTTATTTATACAGGTAAATCCCATTGAGCCTCGAGGACTCATTTACAAGAGAGACCTGATACATTTATATACTTTTGAAAATAGCCTACTACCCTTGTGTATATGTATGTGTTTTATGTGTATTTTAGCATTATATTATGTTATATTGCAGTAAGTTTTACTAGTCAACATGTAGGATGAAATTAGTTTTATGTAGAATTGTACTGTATCTTGTTTAATTGTCTCTTAAGCAGTTTATTCACATTTCAGTCCCACCTGCATAGTTTTATAGTTTGTTTTTAGAGGAGTTTGAACAGAAAGTTAATTATTAAGATGGTATTCTGGATCAGTAAGAATTATATTTGAGCTGATATTATTTGAGAAAACATAAAAAAAAAAAAGCTGACTCGCCCTTTTCCCTTTTTATTTCCAGAAAGCCCTTCAGGACCCAAATGTTGCAGCCTTCATGGTGGAGCCCATCCAGGGAGAAGCTGGTGTTGTGGTTCCTGACCAGGGCTACCTGACTAAAGTCAGGGAACTTTGCACAAAGTACAATGTGAGTAAAACAAGGGGGAACGACCGCAGGCGACTCAGCTGGTGTTAGTGTGAGGAATGACATGAGAATCAACACTTGTGACAAGTTGATATTAAAGTGATAAAAAAAAGGCCGTTCAACTAAATTAGTTCAATTAAATTAGGCTGAAGTTACTGAAAGTCAGTTAAGTTACTGAAGTTAGGGGTGAAGTTACTGAAAGCCATGAGCTCAGGGGCTGAACATCCAGCAGTTATTCTCATTTTAAGTAAGTTTGTTTTATAATTGGGCGGTGCCATATAATATCGTTCACAATAATACCGGTAAAAAAAAAAATTGCCCGGGAAAATAAATTATATCATGGCATGCTAATTTCATGACGTAAATACGTCATTGTTTCCCCTTATACAAGTGGGGTGCCCCAGCCTGTTAACAGAAGCGACCTGTGCACGCGCCCCCCCCCCCCACCACCACACCTGTCGGTACTGATGTAACACAAATTAGCTGCGCTAATAAGCTTTAATTTTATTTTGTTATTTGGGGAAACTGCATCTGCACTTTAGTTTTTGCGGTGGATTTTGTTGATCTATATTTTGTGCAGATTTTTTCAATCTAAATAACGGAAGGATCATTTAAATTTTTTATTTTTATACATAGAGACTGTATACTTTACTAAGTAATGCAATTTCAGTAAAATTAACCCTTGTTGTTGTTTATATATATATATATATATATATATATATATATAAAATACAGCAAAGAAACGTGTTAAGTTAATTTTGTCAAATCAATAACTATGAATTCTGGTTTTTTTTTGTTATATCATTAAATGTATAGTTATTGTTTGAATGCTCTGAAAAATCACAATATTATATTTGAGCCATATCGCCCACCCCATTTATAATTTCAAATCTAGTTTTATTGAAAAATGAACCCATGGGCACACCCGTGAACCTGATTTGGCCCCCGGGCCACCAGTTGAATAGCCTTGATTTAAAAAGTATTGTTTCTACAGTAGGACTCCAATAAATGGGAGCAGATCAGGAGCAGTAACAGGACAGCTATGACTACCGTATTGTTTGGACTATAAGGCACATTTAAAATCCTTTCTGAAAACTCAACAGTGAGCCTTATAATCAGGTGCACCTTATGTAGTAATTCTGGTTGTGCTTACTGACCTCAAACAGATTTTATGTGGCAAACGGTGCTTAAAAATCTGTCAAAATGAATTTGTTTCGCTTAATGCGCCTTATAATCCGAAAATACGGTATTAGGGGTTGTATTAAAGTTAAATATGAGATAACAAAGAGCTGCTTTTTTCCCAGTCAAATCAAACATAACTTATATAAGATGTTCCAATCCTGGCACTGAGCCGGAACAGGTTTCAGCTCTTACAGAACGTTCTTTCCTAGTGGGTGTGAACTGTGGCAGCTGCTATCTTGTTGCAGAACTGATAAAAATGATCAAACATCTCAAAATGTGAACACCGGGCTGCAGAATGTTACTGCTGCACTTCAACTGGTTGGAATATAACACTGTATATTTGCGGTAGCTCACTCTATGATGTTTGTCTTTTCGAGTTTAAAAATCTTTTAATTTGATCGACGCATGTGCACTGAAAAACCTTCGCGCACACTATTAATTATTATTAATGTTTTGTAAGAGCTGCAGCTTTGAAAAACACGAGTCAAAAATCCATTTCAATGGCAAAAACAAAAACAATAACATCAGAAAAATCAATGTGTTTTTACAGCCACAGACCCACAGTCATTTTAAAAAGACTCGTGTTAAACCTGGTGTCAGGCTGTTACAAAATGCTTGTTCAAAGTGATTTCTTGGCTTTCTTCTCATATAAAATACCCTGAAATGACTTTTGGCACTTCATAAATGAAACGCTGACGTGGCAATGACTAATGGCATCAATAAATCTGACATTTTCTGTGTTTCATACCAACACTCTTTGGGTTCTGTCCAGGTGTTGTGGATTGCTGATGAGGTGCAGACAGGCCTGGCACGGACCGGCCGCCGGCTGGCTGTGGACCACGAGGGGGTTCGTCCGGATGTGGTGACGCTGGGCAAAGCTCTTTCAGGAGGAACTTATCCTGTGAGAATTTTTACTAAAACTGCATATTTAGAGTTTATCCGACACACCTGTCCAGGATTACTCAACGTCAGCGCTTAATAATTCTGTTTGAACTGTCCCCGTCAGGTGTCAGCCGTGCTGTGTGATGATGAAATAATGCTGACCATTAAGCCCGGGGAGCATGGATCCACGTATGGAGGAAACCCTGTGGCCTGCAGCGTTGCTATTGCATCACTGGAGGTTTATATTCAAGTTCAATTTATTCACACCCGTTCTAATCCGTCCTCTTTTGTCTTCAGAAATTAACATTTGAGAGGCTGTTCAGACGTGTTGTTAAGAACCCGTTACAAATTAATTACGCAGCAGAAGGGTAAGCATGGACTTTGTTGTACCCAACAGAAGCAATACAGGAGAAATAAACGCACATCACAGAGCTCAGCTACAGAGCAGTGGACTGAAGATCTGAACCTGTAAAGATCCACAGTGCAGAAAGAACACATATTTGCTGAATTAGGTTTAAGTAATCAGAAATGAGCACAGAAATTATGAAATTATCTTTAAAAAAGCTGAAATTAGCACAAAAATTAGCTGAAAAGGCAGAACGAAGCTTAAACTACCAGAAGGAAGTGGAAAGAGCTGAAATGAGAAAAAAGTGGAATTAGCTGAAAAAGCTAAATATTAGCTGATATAACTGAAACTAACAGAAATAAGCTGAAAGTAGCATAGCAAGCTGGAATTAGCATAAAGAAGTTAATTAGGCTGAAAGTAGCATACATTACCACGAAAAACTTGAATTTATCTGAAAATAGTTGAAATTGGCTTAAAAAAGCTAAAAAGATATCTGAAAAGTTAGAACAAGCTTAAATTAGCAGGAAAAAGCCGAAAGAACATGTTTGCCCAATTAGGCTGAAAGAAGCAGAAATGAGCATAAAAAAGTGGAAATTAATGGGAAATAAATCAGAAATTAGCACAAAAAACAAACAAACTGAAAAGTAGCTAAAAAAGCAGAAAGAAGCTTAAATTACCAGAAGCAAGTGGAGAGAGCACATTTTTGCTGAATTTGGCTTAAAAAAGTGTAAATGAGTGTGAAAAATGTGGAATTAGCTGAAAAAGCTAAAATTAGCATATAAGAGCTTTAATAGTAGCTGAAATAGCAGAAAAACTTTGAAAAATTGAAAAAAAAAATTGCATAAATAAGCTGAAAGGAGCATAATAAGCTGAAATTAGCTGAAAGAAGTTAGAAGAAGCCCAAAAAAGTTATAGTTGGCAGACAAAAATCAGAAAGGAGTACAAAACAGCTGAAAGTAGCTGATTTTTTTGTTTTTAATTTGCACAAGGAAGCTGAAAGAAGCTGAACCAGAACAAAATGTGAAAGGAGCACAAAAAGGTTGTAAACAGATTTAAAGATCTCAAGGATATAAAATTAGCTTAATCTATTTTTTTTATAAGGAAAAAATGGCAGAAAAGGCTAACTATTTCAAAAAGCTAAAGTTGCACCAATACCAAAAGTCATAGCAGGATTGTCCTGAAAGTGCTGAATGTTTTGATTTATGATTTGTTGAAATAGCACAAAAACTATGGGACGAGAGTCATGCCGACAAATGTACGGAAGAAAAATGGATCCCAATAGTGTGAATGCTTCGTAAACATTCACACAATAATGCAACGCTGCTCAGGCACGTTGTCGCAGGTTCACAGCAGATCCAAAAACGATGAGAACAAACATTAAACCAAAGAGCAACTCACCCATACAATGTCCTGTAATGAGTACAATCCAGACAAAACAGAAGTTTATATAGGGAAGGATTTGAATAAATAATTCATGAAAACCTTCAGTCAAAAAACCCCAAACAGACAAAGAAGTTGTATATTCCCAAAGATCGCTGTTGAATTGTTTTTAATCAGCTAGCAGCTCTGCAGATCATTTCCCTTCATGCTCGTGTGGAGTCACGTCAGCTCAGTTGGAGAGTCGGGGCTCGGCCCAGGACCGAGTCCTTACAGACTACGAGATCCAGATCACCTCTGATGATGGTCCGAGAGAAAACCTTTTTAATATGATTGATGCAGTTTCCACCTGTACGTAGCGCTGCGAAGAAACGTTGCATCGACCGGTCTGAACAAGCTCTGAGGCGTAGATTCAGAACAACCAGCTCCTCAGGTCCAGCAGTAATGTGCACATTTTGGATACAGAAGATCGATGGTTCGAGAGAGGAGCGAAGAAAGCCGTTTACGTTAACGTAAAAAACATCAGTATCTTGCCACTTTATTTATAAAGCACTTAAAACAGCAGCAAGTCCAATCAAAGTGCTGTACAGCACAAACAAACAAGCAAAGGAGATGGCAAAAAATATATAGATCCAAATAGATAAAGATAAGAACTAAGTGACTGACATCCTGATGCATGCTCAATAATCCAGGTAAAAAAATCTAAAAAAGTTAAATATGGTCCTCTGGACATTCAAAAAAAAAAAAAAACACACCAAAACAAAACTAAAACTAAATAATTAACTAACGTTATAGAATACAGACAAGTTAAAATCAGCTCACTGTGTCCAAAGCCCGGTAAAAAAGGTGAGTTTTTAAACAAGACTTAAAAACAGTGAGAGAGGAAGCCTGCCTGACATGTGGTGGTAACTCATTCCACAGTTCTGGACCTGCAGCAGAGAAGGCCCTGTCACCTCTGAGCTTAAGACGAGTTCCTGGAACCAATAGAAGCATCTGCTGACGTCAAAGAGTGCGGTGGAAGATATGGCTGCAGCAGATCAGCGAGATAAGAGGGGGCAGAACTGTTCAGAGATTTAAAAATATACAGATTTTAAAATGAATTTGAAAGTGAATTGGGAGCCAGTTCAGGGAGTCCAGAACTAGCGTTGCATTCAGGTCCAAAAAATCTGACCTGACCCAGCCCGTAGCCATCATTTCCGAACCCGACCCGACAATTAACAGTAATTACAGGTCCGAACACAAAAAAATCCTCAGACATTTTTTTATTAAGTTTTTACTGCTTATATAATTATTAACGGTCTGCGGACGTGTACAGCTAAGGGGCAGAAGATCGGAGCTGAGGGGGTGTTTGTCCTTTCATGGCCGTCAAAGTGCATTAAATCCCTGCATTCTGCATTATTCAGACATGGACCCTGCTCTGGCATGTCACCTGTTTGGGTCGTCGGCCGCGTGCGTCGTTTGAGTGCAGCTGAATCTCTTAAATTACACCACCAGCTTCTAAAGGAACGAACAAAGATGTCTCATTGGTTTGGATGTCTTTCTTTACTTTAACTGAACTTTTTTTTTAAACCTATTTCAAGGCTGTCAGCGCGCGGTCAAATGGCCGCATGCGGCTGGTGATTGTATGACAAGCCACGTTGCCATATAATTGGATCGTCAGCTGTGTGCGTCCGCTGATGCAAGCAAAAGCTCGACACCGGCCCGGCCCTAATCCGCGTCGGGCCGGGTTCATGTTAGACATGACAACTCTAGCCAGAGCTGGACTAATGTTCTCTCTTTTGCCCGTACCAGTTACAAATCATGCTGCAGCATTTTGAACCAATACAAGAAATCGGTAGAAGATGTGGCCTCGTGTTCTACTTATCCAGAACGTTTCCTCCTGAGGTTGTTTCACGACCATTCACAGCTGGAAACTTGTGCCAAGGAGTCAAACTGCTCAGAGAATGGACGTGCAGCTTCAGAGACCCCTTTTTATGTGATCGTACAAATTGGGTTTCTAATAATAATGACGACTGAAAAATAAATTGGAGGCAAAAAATGGTCAAGAATCTTAAGAAAATTCCTGTTGCCAAACTTACAAGATTTATGTTTAAGACTCTTTCCTTAACATTGATGATTTTTTTTATTTTTGTTTTAACCTGCAGGTGTTGGAGGAGGAGAAACTTGCAGAAAATGCTCAAATGATGGGAGAGCTGTTGCGAGCTGAGCTGAATAAACTGCCCAAAGACATCGTGACCACGGTGAGAGGGAAAGGCCTCCTCAACGCAGTCGTCATCAAGGAGACCAAAGGTAAAATACTGAATTATCTCTGCAACTACACATGGATTTAAGTTACCGTTCATGATCTTTACAACCATTTTATACATTTTACTCAGTCAGTAAATGCAGATGAACAAAAGATGGGATATAAAAAAGAAAACTGAATTGCTGTCACCTTCACCGTCTCCATCTAGACTACGATGCCTGGAAGGTGTGCTTGCGTCTCCGTGACAACGGACTGCTGGCGAAGCCCACCCACGGCGACATCATCCGACTGGCCCCTCCTCTCATCATCAAGGAGCACGAGCTGCGCGAGTGCATCGATATCATCCAGAGAACCATCATGTCCTTCTAAACAACAGCGTCACCAAACGTCTTCATTTGATTTTATTTGCTTTTTATTTGTAATTCTAAGATGATTGTTTTTAAGGGGATTTCAGTAGGAAGACAGGGTTCAGGTAGTGTTTACAGAGCGTGCTTCTGCGAGGATCCATTAGTTTTACACAGAAAAACTGCTGTAAAGACAAAGAGTTTCCTCAGGAATGTCTCAAAACTGCCTAAAGATTGTATTTTTGGAGTGTTTAGTTTACTTTTTAAATCATATTGGCTGATGTATATGTTGGTTTTACAAAAAAATGCCCAATGTTTTTGGAAGTAGGAGTATTGTGGCTTGCAGGAACGTACATAAAACCCTCTGTAGGACTGTAAAAGTGCATTTTCTCGCAGAAAGGAGATCTGATCTCCGCGTCTTAATATGTCAAAGATTTACAAGTTTACTCTCAGATAGTGGAGCTGCTGTCTTAAAACTGACCGTTTTAAGAACCAATCTTGTTACATAAAAGATTGTAAAAGTTTGATATATTATCTTTGATTTTGCACATGAATTTTGTCACTTTAGAAAACTACTTGTCCCAAAGGACCACATTTTATGACCTGTCTCTATAATTCAAAATGTTACGCTGTGTATTACTACTGGGGAAAAAAAGAGAAAACGTCAATCCTTGAGCTTAAATCAGAGTAATTTGCAATACTTTAAAGAGACAAGGCTGAGCACACGGCTGGCTTAGTTTGAAGCAGTTGCTGAATGTAAAGATTGTATTTTCAGACGATGTTGTTACAAAATCCAGCGTTCTTCAAATAAATTATTCTTGTCCCATCTCTTGGATTTTTACTGATCTGCGCCACAAAGAACAAAGTGATTTTGAACATTTGATTTGAAATATAAAGATTAGTTTTACTCGAGCTGATTTAATGCAATAAGGGTTAGTGTTGGGGTTTGTGTGTGCCACCAGATGGCGCTGTGCTCCAACAAGTGTGACTACAGATGGAGTTTAAAGCAGTGAGAGTTGACTGAAGTGGATTTAAAGGCTTCAACCCTCAAGTTAAATGACAGGGTCCAAACTTTTAATCCTCCCAGTCCTGACCTCAACATAATAATAGTACGCTGACTACACAAACGCACACAGGCTGTTAATACATGGCGTGAGTAGCCCTCTATGTAAAAAGTATTTTTTTTTATCAACAAACTAATTGCATTTTTTTTTTCTAAGCAGAACAGAAAGTGTTTGTTGGTGGCTTTGTAAGTCAGGCGGGTGTCTATATTTTACCTTCTGACATCCAAAATAACACACTTTGCAAAATAATTAAAGTAAATTGACAACACAAATAGATCAAATTTGTATCGTACTGGTTTCCCCCCCAACTTATATGATTTTTGTCATCTTTTAAAACAGTTTTAGTGCTCTCAGGAGTTGTATTTTCATTTAAGTTTATTTCAGGGCCACCTTGTGTTCTGAGGCCCTCCCGACCCCAACTTTTAGTACACATCTAAGCAAACTTTCATTAAATATGTCAGTAATTTGCTTTTTTTTTTAACTTTCTGCATGATTGCAATTTAGCCATACTGTTGTTTAGTTTTGAAACAACCAATTTATTTTATTTATTGTGAAGCTTTACTATATAAGACATTCTAGTCAGGGAGCAGGAAACAGTTTTTATGCTGCCTTCACTGAGGTGAGTTTTATTTCTCCCATAAGGCTCGTATTGGTAAAGAGCTTCAGTGTTGACTCTCCCTCTTGTCTAATCTACTCACCAAGCTTTAAACTTGTCTCCCTTCTTTCATCCGGTTTGGTGTCCAGCGTTATAAAGTTCTACTTGCTTTAAACTTTTTCCATTCAAGACTTTAGAAGTATGAGTCTTTGAACAAATGGTTTACGTCTGTCCCAAACATACTTACAGATTAAAAAAGCAAAATGTGAAATGTCTTTTTAGGTTAATTCAGAGCAAATCAATCTTTCCATTTCTGTCTTCTGAGGTGCAGATTTTAAGGCAGCAAAGCTGTATCTTGCAAATTCAATTAAAAAATACTTTATTAATCCCAAATGAAAATTAAATGTTGCAACTCATCATCCTGGTTTCATTAAAGAGTTGTTCTATGCTGATGGCTATAGGCAGGAAGGATCTCTTGTAGCGGTCTGTCAGAGCAGATCTGAGGAAACGTTGCAGATGTTGATCTGTCTACTTGGACTTGGTGGTTTTTTCTGTCTTCTTGGGCAGCAGGACCACCTGAGTCTTGAGCAGAACTCCTCCCTGAGCGATGGTCACTCCTTCCAGCAGCTTGTTGAGCTTCTCGTCATTGTGGACAGTCAGCTGCAGGTGTCGGGGGATGATCCTGGTCTTCTTGTAGTCATGAGCCGCGTTTCCCACCAGCTCCAGGATCTTGGAGGTCAGGTACTAAAGCACCTCCACCAGGTAGACGGCAATGCATCCACGGCACCTCATTTTTAAAACTAATTTGTGATTTGGGGCTGTAGTTAAGGTATTATTTGAGCTTTAGAGATGTTAATCAGCTGCTCCCAATTGTAAAAACCACCTTGTTGTCCTGGTTGCACATCATAACAAATGTCCAAAAGCAAAAAGGTCCTTCAAGCTGCACAGCATCTGATATCAGAGGGAAAAATCATTAAAAACGATTTATATACAGAAAAAAGAGGAATTAAAGTTTTCAAAAGCAACATCCCAGAATGAAAATAACAGAGCTGCTCCATCATGCAGCCACCTTTAGCAGCACAATTCTAGAACAATTCAATAATAAATAAAGAAATGCTGTAAAAAGCAGCTATAGATCAATAAAATCCACTCTAATTAATTTACTGCTGTCCACATTTTCTCTTTAATTTCATAGTATCGACTGGCCATATCGTAACAACCTTGTGTCCAGGAAATCTTAAATTATTTGTTTTTAAAAATGCAACACTACCTTATTAAATTTATAGAAAAAAAGACGACAGTTCCGGCTGATGGACACCGGGTGGACTTATCAACTGTCACCGAGCACTGCCTGAATGAACAATAAGATTGTAATTTCTGGAGCTTGTGGTCTTTTGCTACCTCATTATTTTAGCTCACTGACCAAAACAGGTTTAAAACTTAAAATATATATATTTATTTTAATTTGAAGGAAGTCAATGTGGTTAATGCCCGACATATCACTGTCGCTCAACATTCTTCGGTAATTTGTTTGTAATAATCTAAAATCATATTTGATTTATGAACTGTGCAAGAAGTGTAAAGAGGACCAAGACCAAAAAATAAAGGTTGCTGCTGCTAAGGGCTTATTATGGTCACCATGGTAACCACACACCTGTGGCTGTCACTTCTAGACTGCCAAATTAATGAAAGATAGACAAGATTGCAGACTGAAAAGAAAGCCTCAAACAGCTGCAATACAAAAAATACATTACATCTTAAAAATTCTTAAACCATGAGCAGCAGAAGACTCTGATAAACATGAATTTTTTAAATGTCTCTACAGTGTTTTATTTAAGAGACATGACAAGTTGGAAGGACCCTTCACTTCCACTTTTGAGGATCATGTTTTGAGCTCAAATATAACTGAATCGGTGGCAGCTTGGCTGTGCAATCTCTATATTCTGGGCAGATTTGAGAGAAAACCTCAAGTCCTAAAGCAGGGAGAGACAAACCGGGTGAAAGAAGACAACAATGCCTTCGTTTTGATGAACAATTTGCATTTTCTCCAAAAAGAACTGCTGGACTCAGAAGTGTTTGCTTGCAAAAATGGACAACGGTCAGTTTAACATTTGATGGAAAAATTTGTAAAACTTATACAACTTAAACCGTGATTATGTAAAAACCATAAAATATGTCAAAATGTCAGTTCAGACACGGGACGTCCAACTTCCTGCAGCCAGTTCTATCGTGTGACGTACCACTACCAAAAGTTGTAGCACGCCTTTTCCGATTGACTCGCACCTTTTAGGGTGATAATTGACTCGATTCTTAGTGGATGTTTATGCACTGGCATCCTTAATAAAGGTGATCTGTACATCTAGTTACAAGCTCTTGGTCATCGAGGTTAAAGTCCATTGTGCAAATGTTGATTTGTTTGATTGTTCACGCTGCAGGTAAAGTGAACAGAACCTGGGACAGGGTGAAGGTGAGTTGAGGTACGAGCGAGGCTCGCAGTTTGCTCGTGAAAAATGAGTGGAATCCAGTTTGGCAGGAGAACTGAGAGTTACGAGCATGTGACGCTGAGAAACGAGCAGTCTTTGATCCAGCACTCTGTTGGGATCTACCCTGCCATGGTACCGTTTTCCCACAAAGGAGCTCCAGTTTTGGCAGGGGAGTGACAGGCTCGGTGGGGATCTGGGAAAACTGCAGGTTGGGGTTCTGGCCAGGCTTTGACTGCTTTATGTTAAACCCAAGGACGCTCCTGCAAAGCTCCTTGCTAATCATCCTCCTCACATGCTCAGTGCCAACAGACAGTGTGGTGGGTTTAAGTGTGCGGAGCAAAGCTGAGTTCAAAGCCTTGCTGTTCGTTCCATCACAATTCCTCACACCAAGAAGGTCAAGAGAGAGCACACCCAGACTAAATGGCTTCTTTTGTTGCTCTCTTTTGGTGCTTTGTTCCACACGCTCTCATTTTCTTACCGCCCCTTTGCTGCTACCTCAGCAAGTCCATCTGCATTCACGTCTTACATAGCACAGAAATCAGGTTGTGCCACTTAGAGAAGATGTAATCAAAGAGGATGTGCCTGAAATTTGATTCAGGTAAAGTTGAAGTTAAGGTCGCGATAAATTTAAAAGCTTTATATCCATTAAAGGTATGGTGAGCAAGGCGACGGCCTAAGAATGATGACTGATGCAGAGCAGAATAGGACAAGCTATACTTGTCCCCCCCCTAGATAAATCATGGGAAAGGCAGGAGTCGCCTGCCGCTGCTGGTGCTCAAACTAATGGGCCCTTCACATTAGGTTTATGACATCAGAATGCATTGATAACGTACACATGCATCCTATGACGTGTTAATTTCATCCCACATCACATCTGAAAGGACGCATAAATGTGTATACGTTGATCATGCACACAGCAAGGTCCTTCAGAAGGACACGTCTGCCCCTGCAGAGCTGAGGCACAAAGATGTGTGACTCCCCGGCAAGCGCTCGCAGAAAAATTATCTTATTTTTCCACACCATCGCCTGATTTATTTCTGGATCATGCACGAGCATGCAGCTACAAATCTTTCGAAAGGCGAAAGGAGAAGAAAACGTCCTACAATGCACCAGATCTATAAAGTCGTTTTACTTTCTCTTTTTCTTAGAATTTGAAAGCAAACAAAAGGAACTAACTTTGTACTATTTGTTAATTTTATTTTTTTAAATAATTTTACAATAGCATCAGAAGTATTGCAGTCAATGGTTTTGATTGGGAAAAAGTAAATACGGTCAACGGACCGCAACTGTTTGAGCTTCACTTTAACCGCTGCCGATGAATGACTGTCAGCTACTACCACAACAAATTTAAGCTCAATATCTGTAAAAGTGACTGAGTTGTAGACATTTTTGAGTTGGTTAATGCAAACTAGCTGTGGCAACAATCTTAAGTCGACTCCACTGACTCCAAATGTGAATCACTTGTAGACGCACAATCAATGGTTATTTTCTGAAAGTGTCAGTAGAATCCATCAACTTGCTTATAATTCAATTCAATTCAGTTTATTTATACAACGCCAAGTCACAACAGAAGTCATCTCAGGGCACTTAACAGAAATACTCATATTTTAAAATAATAATTTAACATGTTTTATCTGAGGAGCAGACTACTTTGAGTTTAACTCCATCACAGAACTC